TTTGCCTGAGAGTTCTTCCTGCATAATACTATGCGTTGAGTTAGAGGTGCTGCAAGGTTGATTGGTTTTCCGTTTATAAGTAGATTTGTGAGATTTATCAGTGCGAAAGATCAACCCTTAGTACGGTGATGGTCAGTGAGAGCTGATTGATCGATGATAGGGGAAATCAGAATGAGGTATTCTTTGAGTTAACTAAATATTGGAAGATAAATATAATTGTCGTGTAATTCCGTTATGGTGTGAAGGATAGACCAGTACAACATATTCTTTTTAATCCTTTTCGCCAATACTCTCATCACTAAGAGCCAATTGAAGATTGTTTTGTGCATTTTAAGTCGTAGTTGGCTCCGCTATTCAAAAAGTTGTAATCCTTAGCAGCCTGCATTTTAGAATTAATAAAACACATCTGGGCTTTTATTTCTAACTAGAGCGGGACATCATTAAGTGCGTACGACTTTACATTCACAAAATACTAAAGGCTTCGCTGATATCTATTCACTTACAAATCCTGTGATAATAAGAATAAATGGAAGAAAATTCGTCTATCGGTAGCTTAAATCCTTCCTAATTCCAGCAATATTTCTGCTAGCTTGTCTGCTAGGTAAGAAAAAGTCATATTTTCTTATGGATTTTGGCAATCAAGCTCAGTCATTGGGATCTGATCCTGGATGAATTCCTGAGTAAGAGTGGCTTGCGATCATCAAACCAAAGTTAATGAATGAGTATTGTTAAGCACACACATTTGCATGGATTTGTTTAATCGTGAACGAGCACAATCATCACTTATTCAAGAACCCATTCTACAGACTGATATAAAGCTGGAAATTTCCTTGTCTATTTGGACATATAACTGAGACTAAATTCTGTAGACACTGAGTAGAATTATTTAAATTTCCAATATTGGGGTTCACACTCATACTTTCTACTAACCAAAAAGATTATCACTAAAATGAGCACTCAACTATTTATATCATTATTTTCATTTATCTAGATCAGCACCAAACGCCTTGGTTTGCATGGGGAAAAAATCTAGATTTAGGATTTTGCTAATCTAAAGTTGTCATATGCCAAAAACTCATTCCTTTGACTTAAGGTAATTGTTTAGTACTTAGATACATCGAAATTGCCTGGGCTTACTGATATCTTGCCCAACCTAACGAGGGAATTCCGCACTTATCATGGCTTACTCTTAAAAAAGGGGATCTGACCATCGCTACTACAAGCTGAACTTGCGGACTACTCATATACCATGATTTATTTTGCAGAAAGCAACTTTTCTTGTCCTTATCCTTGGATATCCTGCCAACTACTTGTTTAATAATCATTCTAAATTCCTCCATATTCTCTCTCTATGAAATTTTCTTCCCTCATTATTTTAGCCAACCTGGTTGATAAGGATCCCAACAATCAACCCTCCTTAGATCACCTTGCCTCTTCTCATGTCATTCCTGCTAGTGCTGCTAATGAATCAACCTCCTCTTCGATTGCCTCTTCATTACTTTCACCGCCTTCTCCCTCACTCGTCAGTCCACCCAACATGTGGACTCGTCAAGACCTGATTGAGTTCAAGACGACGCTGGCTGAGGACTCAGATTCTGTGATGATGATCGGCTCAGGGGAGATGATCACCGTAAGCATACTCCTTAATTATGTTTTGAGCATCGATAGCAGAAAAAGTATACATCCTGTGATTTTGAAGAGATTAAAGAAATGGAAAACATCTATTTTTACGAGGCTAACTTCAAAATCCCTTTTTGATACTTGTTTAAGCCCATCCGATCCATAGGTTCTGTTTGAAAAGGCTGATGGAAGGAATTCGTAAATTAGTTTCACCGGATACCGAAGAAGGATCTTGGATTTCTGACTTTTGAATCGTATAAAGAAGGCCTCGATTTACCGTCCTTCGATCTCGTTGAATCCGTGTTGAGCTCTCATGGGTAATATGAAAACTTCCAAGCCAGAAGCAATCATTCACGAGCAATCACTAATTAAGCCAAGAAAGGCGTTAGCTGAAATCTTACTTGCTTTTTATACTTTGAGACCTTAATGAGATATCTCATCATTTGTTTGTCTAATTCATGTACATTCTTCATGAATAAAAACAAATGAAGATTATTTATGTAAGAGGAGTTAATGTGGTCACAGCTTTTCTGTATATTATTTATTTTGTGTATGATCATGTAATGCTAATTTTAGGCTCGTGCATGTACGCCTTAGTTTTTCAGTATTAATGAGTCATCTAACTATTTCTAGCCCAATCCAGACCCCGGGTGTTCAAACATTCTCCTCTGACTTGACGGTTCTTCCTGCTCTCTCTCTCTCTTCTTTCTTACCTGGCGAGACACTATATCATATACTACATCAATAATCGATGATTGCTTCAGAAAATCTTTCGAAT